ATATATATATAAATTCATCCATACAGATATATACGTACATACATCCATACATATATACAGACATACTTAGATACATACAGAAATACATACATGCATGCTTACATATATACCTTCCATCACCAACTCAGCTCACTCGAACAAGACCTACCGTGTGCACCCCACAATCACCTGAGGGGTGTGTGCGTAGTACTCGTTCCACTCGTCCTGACTGACCACCGCACAGTCCATTCTGCGTAGTGTGTCGCGCACATCCTCTGCACACAGCGCCTGCTGTAGCGCCTCACTCGTGCCCACACAGCCCCAATCTGTGGCAGTAGCGGCCGGGCGTATCCGCCGCTTGGCGCAGGTAATCCTCGCAGTAATGCAGAGTGCGCACAAGCACGTGCATGTCCATGCTTCATGCGTCTTGTTAATGTGCGTGCATGCATCGTGGAGCCCTTCCACACCACGAGCGTGAACATCCATCTGTACAAGGTTAACATCGTTGACGCTGTCGTTATCATCGCTCTCGCAGTCACTATCGGATTCGGTAAGAATTGACTGAAGGAGCTGTCCAGCGTGTGTGCGCACCACTTCATTGTCATGCATCTCCAGAGCTTCCAATACGGGGATTGAGACGTTTTCTAACGCCATAAAAGCCTTTTTCACGGCTGGGTGCCATGGCAACATGATAAACAACTCAGCTATCTGCTTCACAGCAATCGCCTGTGTTGCGGAACCCAGTTTAGTCAAGGCCTCAATTGCAGCCATACGCACGTCAGCATCTTCATCGCACAGTAGCTTAACAACACGCACAGCAGCGGAGCCTTCCACAGCCGAGAGAGCCTTCTTCTTACCCTTCTTCTTCCCACCACCCCGTTTGCGTGCGGAGAATATTCGTTTGCACGCCTTGACACTTGCCAACCGCACACGCGACAGCCTGTCATTGAACAGCTCAATGGTGGCATTCAGCAGTGCTTCACAGTTGTCTGTCTTCCAGAGCACGCTGCCTTTCTCCGCAAGAAGTGCACATGTCTTTACACATGTGGCACGCACATCCCCATCCCCATCCATCAGCCCTGCGAGTAATATCTGGGCCATTCGGGTGCAATTTTGAGGCCCCTCATTAGAATCGAGAACATATTCGCCCAACACCAGTCCTGCTGTACACAGCACGCCTAGTGCTTCTGCTGCAGTCTGTCGTACGCCATGATCAGAGTGACTCCTCAGTAGTTCGACCAACGTCCCACTGATCCCCTCTGCATGCGCGGTGCTCAGCGTTAATATACTATGTTCGATCTCGGAAGGAGTTGTTTCATCTGATTGCAATGCGAACATAGCCTGGGCACAGAGGCCAACCGAATCGGGTGTACGTTCCATCTTCTCTTGTTGTACCAAGAGTTCAATTTGTAGCGTCTCTGGTGCGCAAATACAACCCGTCTGAATTAGCCCATAACACTACAACTTCAACTGTATATACACCAACACGATAGTGGTATTAAAATAGTGGTAAATATCACAGCCTTCTGTTATTTTTTAGGACATATCTATTATACACGATGTATTGCATATGAGAATATGTAAATACGTCTAAGTATTACAATCAGGCGGTCACACGTCAGTGCTGTGCAGCTGTATCAAAGATAAGTATGGCTAACAACACCATTTATGTGTCAATATTTAATAGATAAAGAATACATAAATGAATTCCAAATGCATGCGATCCGAACTATATTTGGATTGTGGCGGGATGTCAGTATAATATTCTACAAAAGAATAAACATGACATGGCCTCCCAAAAACTAAAAAGACGGGAGGCTATGGAATATTTACACGATGCTTATAAAAAGCTATGGAATACATGATGCTTATAAAAAGCTATGGAATACATGATGTATATAAATAGCACATGATGGTTATAAATAGCTATGGAATACATGATGTGTATAAATAGCTATGGAATACGTGATGGCCTTGTGTATTTCCTTCCGTGCGGCCCCAAGACTGAATGAGTCCATTCTTACATCCCCGATCGGAAAGTATAAGCTAAATACTTTGTTTTTTAATAGATTGGGGTTTGACGTCAGTGTCACCACACCCTATCCCACGTAGACGCAATGAAGAAGCCGCTAAACTCTAAAACGCCGAGTATTGTATATACCTATGGTGGATTAAATACATAGATTAGTAAGGGATTCACAAGTCTCGGCCGTGGTAACGATCTACTGTCCACATTCTATGCACTGTATATTGTGGGTAAGCACAGAAGAAGAAGAAATATAAAGAGTTTACTTTAAGGACCTTGCTACATGCTCGCTAAGATGATGTCGATGGTGTGATCGACGTTATTATGGATTAATTGGATTCGATAGAAGTTTATTTTTAACTTTTGGTGATGGTATCTATGCCTAATAGCTGCAAATGCCTGTTCCATGTTTTTATCACCAATTGACAACTCCGAATGCGTTCCTAATCTTGGATGGACGGCCAATCACAGAAAATAATAGTTTACGCTTAGAACCTTGCTACGTTCTATACACAGAGCGATGCCCTGAAGGCTCAATTGTTTCACAGGTTACGTCTACCACTTGAGGTATAAATATTGCACGAGTCACTCCCAACAAACTTGGCGCAGTAGTAGCTTCACTGCCTTCTGTAGGTGCAACCCACCGCAACAAAACTCATCAAGAATGCATCCGCCACATTACCATCTATAAATGAGCGTACCGAGTTATTTTGGATCAGGAATTCTAGCATATGTGATACATACATACGCTGTATCGGCGGCAGCAACAGATACTTCGGTTCTGTTGTGATGTCGATGGAGCAATCGATGATATTATGGAACGACTGGATTCGGTAGTATGGTGGTTTGAGTGTTCTCAGCTTTTGGCGATGGTAACTATGCTTGTGATGATAGCAGCCAAGGCTTTTTAAACTCCAGTTGAGTACATCGAATTCGATTCTGATCTTGGATGTTGGAGTAGAGAAGAGTTGGGGCGGCGAGTTTATTCATATTTGTGTATGGTGGTACGGAGGGGGAAAGGGACAAGGGCCAGGGAGTGGCTGGGTAACACAGTAAATTAATAGATATTATATACGATGTTTAATTTCGAACCAGACTTTAGCGAGATTACGCTTGAATTTTAGTGATCGACCAATGTTAATGTCAATAATCTCGAGGAAATCACCAGACAGTATTTAAATAGCTGGGGACTATGCATTACATAGTGCCTGGTCCAAGCCTGTCTGATGATTAACAGTTTCACACACAGGAGTGCTCAATAGCTCATTCTCAACACCCCTCGCAAAAGTTCAGTTCTGAAGTTCTGAGCTCTGACACTTCCACTGGTTTTTTATTATTTTTTATTATAGTCTCATAGTTCAGTGGCTGACAACTTCTCTTCTCAATCTTCGAAAGTCTTTTTTTGTTTCTCATCTGGTGACTGTTGACAGTGTTGAGTGTTGACTCACTGGTCGCGACGGACAACTTCCAAAGTTCCGGGTATTTACCAGAGTGGCCTCGTCATGTCTTCTTCTACAGTACAATTGGGCCATTTCATTAAACCCCCCCCCCCCCCCTAAGAAATAAAACACGGATTTTCAACGTTTGCCAATAAATCATCGTTTTCAATACCAGAGTATTTTTTTAAAAACATATTGTCATATTATTTATATTTTAACTTTTTGTTTTTATAACAAAAACAAAACAAATACAAAATTTATTGTTCTGTTGTTGTTGACTAAAGTTCCATCTACCCCAGAGGCCCAAACTCCCAGGACGCAGAGTCCCAGACTCAGATTGTTGTTTTTGAATAAATGGTCGATCTTTAATTTTATTTCTAAAAATCAATAAACAATATGTATGTATATAGGTAACTATATTTATTTACGTATTAAGTACATATTTAAAAATTTACGTCACCGTGACTATTATTTTGGTTGGTTTTTGCCGATTTTTATACTCTCTACATACTCTCACAAGAAGGAGAGGGAGTCAGCCTGTCAGGGTACTTGAGAAATGCTGGGTTGGCATCCGACAACGACGTACACCCCTGAATTCTTCTGGCGCGTTCACTAAAATGTATTTTAGGCTTTTGTTGTAATTTGGGCGCGGGATTGGAACTAAGAACGTCGTCAGTGTTGACAGTTATGAATTATAAGTCAACGCCCAAGCCAACTGACACCGACACAAGTTTCCACCGACAAAATTTAAATAAATTCACAATATGTGAATAATTAGAACACATTAATAAATTAAGACTGTTTACTGTTTATATTGCGTGTATTCTTGCGTGTTTCTGTGCATAGGTTTAAAAGTATGTCCCCAAACTGTTCGAGACACTATTCAAAATTTTACATTGCCTACTGACATAACAACTGTATACTATTATACAAAAGCATACACCCATTCATGTAAAAACCGCATCATCCGCCAAACAATATTAATTAGTAGCTATTAACTACTTACTACATACTTTATTCACAATATACTAAAGTTGCAACTGATTGTCTTTTGATTTTTGACTTTTGACTTTTGACTTTTGAAAGAGAGAGCGCCCCAACCGCCCCGGGCTGTTGAAAATCTTGTCTTCGCCTGCATACATAGTAGTGTAAACAAGTCTCGATTTAAAAAAATTATTTAGTTCCGACTCCCAAGCTCGATATTATTACGGTTTTCGATAAAAACTTTTTTATTCCATTTCAAAAACAAAATATTAATATAAATTAGCATTTGCAATGACACTCGAGTCTTGACCCGTTGACCGTATAAATGTATTTTACCTATCGTACCGTATTGTCAATTGAGCTTTATTTTATATATATATAAATAGCTTCCACAATCCACAGTGTTGAATTTAGGAGACTATTTACATATGAGAAAAGGGGAGATTTTTTCTCTTTTTTAAGACAAAAGGGGATCGCAGTTCGAAGTTCGGAAGTTCGTCGATATTAAAAAAAAAATAGAAATAAAACAAAACCTCAATTTTTAAGAATAAAAAAGCTATGATTTCTTGTCAGAAACTCAAGACTTTTCGAAAGCCAAAGGTGAACTTCAATCACTCCATCACTCCATCACTCCTAAGTCTGACGTCATTTTCAAAATATTTATAACATCTTTACGTACCGGCTTTTTGGGTTGATTGTTTTTAAAAATCAAATACATCGAATCAAAAAGCAAAAAGAATATTTTTCTAAAATAATTATGTTTTTTTTAAATATTTATACAAAAACAAACCCCCGCCTCGCGAACGGAGTCCTGATTTAAATTATATAATAATTTTTAGTTAATAAAAAAAAACCGTAAAACAAACAGGAAATGTGAATATTATATACTATTTCTTTTCGGTTTTTGTTACAATAAATTATCGCAGAACTGCTTCTCTCGAATTTCAAAAATGTAAATTGTTTTTGTATGTTTTTTTTTTGTATATTAAATGAGCATGAAGCCAAAATTATATTTTCAATGCTACGCTTGCAACTGCTAAATTCCTCCCCTCCCACCTTTTTTTGAAACTACTAATCCGAAACCAGTTAATCTCCAATCCCCGATTCCTGAGTACCGATTCCGATTTTTGGAAACAACCCCTTTGCTCTTCAGGGAGTATTTATCAGACTTTCGGTCAGTGTAGTATTTAAAAAATATGTACGCAATTAGCGCACACGAGGTGTTGAACGGAATAATAATAATAAACGGGTCCTAAATTGAAAATTGTGTATTTTTAGGGGTAAATAGGCAAAACCGTTCACGTTCCGTTTTGTTTTCGTACCAAATACGCAAACCTCGATCTGTCATCTGGGGGGTTTTCATGTCTGCAACACGTGTCATATTTGCTCCATTCAAATATATATTCCAAAACTTTACTTTTTTATATTATACATTACCCACAGCGGGCACAGCTACACTTTCCGTCAGCCGTCGGTCCGTCAGTCCGTCAGACCATCAACTTCACAAGCGGTGACAAGCCGCAGCGGCGCAGCGACAGTGCCAGCCTGCCAGCCTGAACCTGGCCGAGTCCCTGGGGCCTGGAGTCCTGGAGCAGATGGACAGTACGAGATTCTCGCGAAGCACCAGTCTGTCACGCTGTTTTAAAATACCACAAAGTGACAACTGACAAATAACATGCCAACGACCCACGCAGCCACGCCTCTACTTGCTAAAGGTCAGTCCAGCGAGAAGCACCTGCCGACTTCCGGCCTCACCTCCGAAGTCCGAACTCCAAAGTCCCAGATGTATTGTATTTTGATTAATTGCTTTTTTAGCTAAAACAATATATTTTATAAATATATATGTATGTGGACTAGTGGGTCTATTTTTCTATTTTAAAATAGTATATTTTTCAATTGTTTTTATTTCGTTTTTTTGATTTCTTTTTAAAAACAATCACAAAAACAAAAACAATGCAAAATATTCATCAACTGTTATCAACACGCGGGTAAAATTTACAGATGTCACGACTCATAACTCTACAGCCTACGCTCCCGGGCCCTGAACTTACTAGCGGCCCTACGCCCAAGAGTATCTACACTACTCTCTCTAGTTAAAAAAATACGTACGAAATGCATCTCTATGTAGTACTTCGTTTTTTTTGTTTTTTTTAAATACATATATATAAAAACCCCACAATACAGAGAGAGGTTTATTATAGAGGGGCCCCACCAGCCATTGTCCCCCTCTCTATTTTGATTGTTTACTCTACTATTTAGCTCTCAGCTACATTCTCTCATTTTCTGACTTTCTCTCTAATCTCTTTCCTCGCGCTCGCGTAGAGAGAGTATATAATTAGTGCAGGGATCATATTTACATACATAGACATTAGGCACAAATTATTTCAAATTTTGCCTGTAGGCCGTACCGAACTACTACTGACTACTGTAGTACCGCGGCACCGCCCAAACGGACAACGGCCATCACGCCTGATCACACTGGTCAAAACAATGTTTGATATTTAAATAAAAAAATTGCCGAAAGTGGAAAACTTATAATACTGTAACTGAACACAAGCATATGACACGAGTCATGTCTCGCGACTCAAGACTCATGAGGTTTTCTGTGCGAAAGTGACGAAACAGCGAAACACAGTTCTTTTTAAATACACATTTATTATACACAGCTCCAATCGCCCGATCCCGTTGAGTACCAATATTTTAAAAAGTAAATTTTTCTCTCAAATATAACTATTTACAGAGTGTCTCTATTTTTTTGGCTGTTTATTTTTTTAAACAAAACAGCAACAAAAAATGACGTCTCTAGCTTTTTCTAAAAAGTCTCTCGAGTCTCTCTAGTAGAAAGACTGCAAGAGCGCTCTCTCAGTCTCTCTCCGTCTATGATATTTATAAAAGTATTTTTCTATGAAATGGAGAGAGATGGAGAGAGAGAGATAGAGATAGAGATTAGAGAGAGGAGAGAAATACTGGATTTCAGATTTATTTTAGTATACTGATGCGGGAGAGGCGAGAGCCTGAATGAGCCCTGAGGGCTGAGAGCCATCAAAAACCCACTGGGACATTGGGAGTTGGGAGTTGGGAGTTGGGAGTTGGGACCAAAGTCCAGACATTCAGTGGGCCAGCCAGACCTTGCCGTCCGATCTTGGAGGCTGGAGCCTGAAGGCCTTAACTTCCCTGAAGCTGTATAGAACTGAGAATACTAGAGATTTTAATAAGACTAGTATTTGGCCACCTCTCGGAGGCTACATAGTACTGTGGTATGTGGAAGACTGGAGGCTGTGGACCGTCCGTCTGAAGCCACTGAGTCGTATTTTATAATATATTCTTCTCTCTCTTCTTGGAATTTCAATCCTGTGACAATCAGACAACCAAATCAGGTAGACGCGCGGGCTCAACACTTGATCATCAGCAATAAATAGGAAGGTACGGGTCACTGGTGTGACTTGGAGAGTGCTTTGAGATATTATATTAAAAAATATGTGCATATATCAGGTATTAGCAGTCCTAGTCCATGCATTGGAGTAGCAGGGACCCTGGTGTCTATTATGTCGAGTTGATATGAAAAGGCACCGCTTGCTTGGCAAGAGCACAGGGTTTGCGACGTACAAATACAAGCTCACATTCCACCACTGAAGACATAATATTCTATGCTAACTGTTCTATCATGATTCGTCTAAATAGTATCTGGAAGGTTGACACGGGCATATCCTCGGATCACATTCAATCTGGCGTGATATCGAAGGATGTAGAGGGGCTGCCAAGAAAAGTGGTTATGAGCTGGATTATGACCGTGGCACTAGTAATTATAAGCGCAATAGGCTTTGCAACTTTTGCGGAGTCGCCATGTATGTTAGCAGACTCCACTGGATGTCAAGAAGCGCAAAAGAGCATGTCATATTGGCAACAAATGATGGTGGGTGTTGAGAATATCTCCTTGATTGGATTGGTTGCCTACTCCTTTGCCTTTCCATGTATATGCCTCACACTCTTGTACGCTCTAAGATTCACACTAGTCTGGTGCTCACCTCGTAATCAGACTATTGTGGCAGTCGGCCTGGCATTCATTGCGATAGCACTCGGAACGGCAGCATTTCTCTTCTGGGGAGATATCTGGAATGGATCCGAATCCGGATTTGTCATGGCTAATGGATGGGGCATGTTTGCACTGTCCATATGTCTGGCCATAACTTTAATGATGATAGCCTGCCGGAGGCTGGTGTCCAAGTGGCAGCGTCCGGTACCGAGCTGGACTATCAGTATTTCGTTCACCTTTTTGTTCATTCCGCTGTGCTTTTTGATTGCCCTGCTCCTACCGAAAGGCGAGTGGAAGGTTCTCAATGGTAGTCTACACAGTCCAGAACTCGTGAGCGGTGAAGGTGCGAGTTTTGGACCCGAGAGTTATAAGTTTTCAATATACACAGACGTCGGAGTTTTCTACGCTACAATCTTCAGTACTTGTCTCGCGATGACCTTGGCCAAGGAGTACCGCGCCTCGAGATTGATGCTTAAGAGAGCAATGCGTCTTGGATCCTTCCGAACGACGATAGGGTCTTTATTAGCTGCTTCAATGTTTTTGTTCCTAAATGTGTTCTGGATGATTCACTTCAGTCACCATCACGAGACGTTGGGAAAGGAGATCACCTGCCATGACATAGATGTATGTAGTAGAATTGGAGTCAGTGCGTTCGTGACAGGCAACACTGCAAATCTTCAGATTTCGCTGCTGACTCTACCTATAGGTCGCACGAATGTATTTGGCAAAATAATGGGCGTATCCTGGGAGGCTAGTATCAAGTGGCATCGATTTATTGGATATTTGTTCCTTCTCTTTTCGACAGTCCACGGCGCCTTGTGGTTTGTTCTCTGGTACCTGCGGTCTGACTTCACAGGCAGTCCCGAATACATGAAGGGCAGTATAACCAATCCGATCATTTTCCTGGTTCATTGTGTCATGTTGGTGGTCTTCGGTGTGCTTACGCTGCCTTTCTTCCGTCGGACGTTTTACGAGTGGTTCTTCGTTTCCCATCACTTTTACGCAGTTGTTTTTATCACTGTTATCTGGCACGCCGGTCGACTTTGGCATCTCATCCTACCCGCAATTGGACTGTGGGGTATTGATCAAGCAATTCGTTTGTACAGATGCACAAGGGATGTGGGGCAGTCGAAGATCACTGTATACGGAGATAAATTTGTTCGTCTCGACGTTTCTGGACTACAAGGGAAGACAATTGGTTTCACAACGGGACAATTCGCGTACATAAACATCCCAGCAGTTTCTACTACGCAGTGGCACCCTATAACGATAGCAAGCAGCCCCGCAGAGGATAGAATCACTTTCTACATCAAGTCTCTGGGTCTTTGGTCGAGCTCTTTAACAAAGTTGGGTGGCGAGAGCCCATTAGTTCACCTAGACTTCGGCTATGGAACACCTCCTGTTTTCAATGATTTTGCGAACATCACGTTCGTTTGTGGCGGAATCGGTTTCACTACGTGTATGAGCTTAATGAGAAGTTTGATCTATGCACCTGAACTGTTTCCCAATGTGAAGCGGTTGCAAATTATAATGATTATGAGGGAGAAGGTTCTGTTACGTATGGCCGAAGATACTTTGACGTTACTACTGAACAGCAAACATGACGTTATAAGCTCTGTACAAATATTCTTAACGAGACAAGCCCTCGATGAACCTGAGGACGAGCTTGACGAGCGTATCCTAATACAGAAGAGTTGTGAATTCGATTGCGAGATGCAAGAAAAGCCTGCCCAGAAACCCCATATTAAGACAGTGAACGACTGCGACCAAAACAATTGGTCGATTGACCAAGGAAGACCAAATTTGGAAGATATCGTTTTCGGTGATTTGGTGGTGGCGTGTGGCGCGCAAAAGCTTATTGAGATTGCTCGAAATGTTGCTGATAAAAAAGGGGTGGTTTTCCACAAGGAACGTTTCCTTTTCTGACGGGTGATTTTATCCAGTCATGTATTTCAGACAATATACAACCCAACAACCCCCAACATATCTTCATACACACCTATAAAAACGATGACATATGTTAAATAATAGAAAATAAATCTGACACGCGAATGTTAATAGAGTTACTTAAACTGAATAAATAAAACGTGTAATTTTCTGATGACATAATTTATAGATGTGGACAATGAAATATTTTTATATGTTGAACCCTCACATTTATACACTCATTTATACACTCATTTATACGTTCACACACACACACGCATAT